ATGTAGTACCTGATTTTATTCCTGATCTGTGTCAGTACAGCTATATACAGCTATTTGCATAGACCTTGCAAACTGCCAAGTAGATGGTAATGTGACCACACAATGCAAGACACACCTCAATTTATAGACAGTCTCCTTTGAAGTTCATAGAGTGGTTTATGAATTGGTTTGCAAGGTCTGTGCAATTTGCTGTACATAGCAGTTGTCAAGTAGTTGGGCTGTTTGTTTAATGTGACCACACAATACAAGACACACCTCATCAGTTTAGACAGTCTCCTATGAAGCTCATAGATTGGATTATGAGTTGGTTTGCAAGGCCAGTGCAATAGGCTGTAGCTGGTCATGTACAGGGACTTTTACCCAATTGTGGAGCAACTTTCACAATTCGTAAATTTCAATTTTGGCTAAATTAATTTGGCCCAGAGATCCTGATAACTGATGGGCTCTCTGCCCCATAAACACTTGTCTAGTATAAAATAATGTCCATAAGTACAGTAACTGAGAGTAAGTGATACATAAGAAGATAGAGTAATATTAGTCAGTGTTCAGTAGTAGACACACCCCCTGAAGCGTCCAATGAGATATGTGCTCTTCTGTTGTAAGGTCAGCTTCAAACACAAGCCCCACCCCCATTGCATTCCTCCTCTGTGATGTGGTATAAACAGGAGTACGGTACGTGTTCTATAATTAGTAACAAGGGACATTACATCATTGTCATCTATACCCCAATCACTCACCACTAGTTTAAGTCGATGAGCTTCAATTGGTATTACTCTTAGAATAGGCAGTTCTTCAATGAGGACTTTTGGAGGTGATTTTATCAAACATTTCTTTGATACGCTCCAGCAGGCTCCTTCAAGGTAGAGTCCAGTCACGTAGCAGCCAGAAGGAGCCCTCTCATCCACCTGCTCTAGGTCAGTGTACTGACAGGAAGAAAGATACATGTACATATTATTATGATTAGTAGTGTTACAGTACTTCAGTCACTGCAGTGTAAAGTGTTGATTTGTCTAATGGCCAGACATTCTTACGACAAGTTGCTTGTACTAAAGCAGTGAGGTATGATTCAGGAATATGTAGTCCTGATAACCATATCACGTATGGTTCACCATCATTCACCTAACGTATGACGGTCTATAACACAGCTCTATATTGCTATACAATGATCTAACCCAGGTCTGATACTGCTTGTTCCTCCTAAGGAAATGTGCCATCCAGTTACCAAGTGATTTCAGTGTAGCAGGAGCCAATGCCCTCCATATTGATGGGAGCTGTCCATTATACAGTGATCTTGATAACTCATCCAATTCATTACTCATGCCTACTTCACCAGCCAAAGCCTTAAACAGAGAAATAAAGAGAAATAATTCATTAATTCCTTTACTTTTTGTAAGTTGCTTAGGGAAGAGCTCATCTTCTTAATAAGTTTGTTAAATCTCTCTAATTCTTGTAGCAGCACTACTGTAGTGGGAGATATCATTTCCCCATACTTCTTCCTAATCACATCCAATTTAAATATCTCTGGTAACTTAGCCTTTATAAACAACAACAATAAACAATATAATTCCATACTAATAATTCCATACTTGTATATCAGTTGCTATTCCATTAATGAATTCATCTCTACTTATTCCAGTTCCACTGTCTGCAGTTTGAGGCTGTAGTTCAACTAGTTGGGACCACAAGTCTTTAGTGGTTCTTGTAAAATAGTTGATCTCAGCATTTGCATGGAGCCCAAAGACTTCAGGAGTATTGGCCAAAGGCAGTGACTCTATAGTCTCCAGATACTGATCCCTAGAGAGAGTATAGTCAGTAGAGTACCAGTACCAGTACACTAGTCGATACAGTACCAGTACAGTAGAGTAGACTGGTTGTCAGTACTACAGTACCAGTAGAGTAGACTGGTTGTCAGTACTACAGTACCAGTAGAGTAGACTGGTTGTCAGTACTACAGTACCAGTAGAGTAGACTGGTTGTCAGTACTACAGTACCAGTAGAGTAGACTGGTTGTCAGTACTACAGTACCAGTAGAGTAGACTGGTTGTCAGTACTACAGTACCAGTAGAGTAGACTGGTTGTCAGTACTACAGTACCAGTAGAGTAGACTGGTTGTCAGTACTACAGTACCAGTAGAGTAGACTGGTTGTCAGTACTACAGTACCAGTAGAGTAGACTGGTTGTCAGTACTACAGTACCAGTAGAGTAGACTGGTTGTCAGTACTACAGTACCAGTAGAGTAGACTGGTTGTCAGTACTACAGTACCAGTAGAGTAGACTGGTTGTCAGTACTACAGTACCAGTAGAGTAGACTGGTTGATACAGTACCAGTAGAGTAGACTGGTTGTCAGTACTACAGTACCAGTAGAGTAGACTGGTTGTCAGTACTACAGTACCAGTAGAGTAGACTGGTTGTCAGTACTACAGTACCAGTAGAGTAGACTGGTTGTCAGTACTACAGTACCAGTAGAGTAGACTGGTTGTCAGTACTACAGTACCAGTAGAGTAGACTGGTTGTCAGTACTACAGTACCAGTAGAGTAGACTGGTTGTCAGTACTACAGTACCAGTAGAGTAGACTGGTTGTCAGTACTACAGTACCAGTAGAGTAGACTGGTTGTCAGTACTACAGTACCAGTAGAGTAGACTGGTTGTCAGTACTACAGTACCAGTAGAGTAGACTGGTTGTCAGTACTACAGTACCAGTAGAGTAGACTGGTTGTCAGTACTACAGTACCAGTAGAGTAGACTGGTTGTCAGTACTACAGTACCAGTAGAGTAGACTGGTTGTCAGTACTACAGTACCAGTAGAGTAGACTGGTTGTCAGTACTACAGTACCAGTAGAGTAGACTGGTTGTCAGTACTACAGTACCAGTAGAGTAGACTGGTTGTCAGTAATACAGTACCAGTACAGTAGACTGGTTGTTATACAGTACCTGTTTCCATCAGGAGGTATTACATAATCTACTGTGCTATCATGGTAGAAGTGAAAAGGTTGAAAAGTATCAAAAATGAAGTCACCCATGTACTCATCCATGTAAGTCTTAAGGACACGTCTATCAAAATCATCAATAGCTCTCCCACCATACATCACCTAATGATGATGATGATGATGATAATAAGATAATAAAAATGGTGAATTCTCTCCTTCTCAGTTTTGGTGAAACTTGGCCAAAATCCCTGTACTGGGACTTTAGTTGGAATTTGGAGAAACTTTTAAAATTTGTAAAAAATTCAATTTTGATTAAAGTCAGCTCAAATTACATTCACATGCATCATAAAATGTAATAAAAATTTAGAATTCTCTAGTTTTCATTTTTGGCAAAATAATTTAACCAAAATGAAAGGAAGAGATTTCTTGAATTTTGTTACATTCTCTGATACATAATAGATGTTCTTATGGTGTGTAGAAAAAGTTTGAGGTGATTCCAACTCTAACTTACCTCTCCAATCAGATACTTAAGTGAGCCCCAAGGTATCTTAGTGTCTCCAACCTCATAGGATTTATTAAGGTAAGTCCTCAGTACATCCATACACACTTGAAAATCAGATTCATTGAAATCGTATGAGACATTCCATCCAATCTATTAACAGAGCCAGAACTAAGATACGGTTGTCATGGTAAGTCTTACAGTTCCATATTTTCTCCTCTCCTGTACTACAGCGTGAAAGAAGGCCAGGGTATAAACTAGAGGTCTGAAGGCCGAGTGGGGACAATCCTTTAGTACTTGAGATGGTATCTTAAAGAAAGTATTACGTAAGTTTAGCTTTAGACCGTTTGGAGGTTCTGTCACTACCTGTATCACAATGGATAACAATTGCTCAATTAATAATAATTAATACTTTCAATGATTTCTGGAGTATACCAATAGGGAAGTCAGGAGTGGGGGCAGTGGTAAGCCAGAGTCTAAAGTCTGGGTGTGGTTTAGTGATGGCCTCTAGTGCTTTCTCAAGGTCTATCAGCCATCGAACTAAGAGGTGACAGTTCTGTAGCATCAACCAGTGACCACGTTGGGAGGCTGTCTCTAACAATTGCAATGCCACCTAAAAATTCATAAATACATTAATAATAGTTGGGTCTCTTTCATACTTTCTCCTGTCCTTGTCCCATTGCTAAAAACTTGAATCGGTTCCCACCAAATCCTTTAAGTTCCGCTAGTTTCCCCAAGTCCCCAGCTGGATCAGCCCCAGGACTCAGTATGAACACAATGGGGGACTGTGGGGTTGACTGCTCCAGGACATTCTCTAAATTAACCACAGGAGGTGTCACATATTGCTCTCCCATTTTAAAAGTAACAAAGTTAGTGATTGCTCTATAAACACGATCAACTCTAAAGCAGCGAAGGAGGAGCAACTCCTGAAAGTTAGTCAATCCCTGAGAGTATCTACCGGGAAATACTGCTGACTCAGGAGTATCTAAATCAAACCACTATAAGAGACAAACAAACAAATAAACAAATAAATAAACAAATAAATAAATAAATAATACATTAACGTACCTGTTTCCATGTTTTTTCATTCTTCTCCAGGTCATCAGCCAGGGTACCAAAGACGTCTTTATCTAAAGTGGTCAGTTTAATGACATCTTCCCAGCCTTGGTCAGGTAACCAATCATAGGGCTTACGTCTTGTACTCTAATTAATTATTCATAATCATTAATTAATTGATAGATCATTAATTAAACCTTCTCAAGTGATATGTTTCCTTTTATAAAGAAGTCCAGCTGGTCCCTGTTGAGTCCTTCCTCTTCCTCTTGTATCCTTATTGTCATTTGGAATGAGAACAATAACTTGTGCACTTCAAACAATCCTACACATGCGTTCACCAAATAGAGAGAGAATGGGATAACATGTACATGCAATATCTTACCAGTGCAAGCGTAGTTGTACACGTTGAGTGTCAGTGTGTCAATGATGTTCTTTAGTCTCTTTGGAAGGTGTGAGTCAGGGAGTGAGTGAGACAGTGAATAGTTGAACACTCCAAGGTAGGAGTTGAGTGAGTATTGGTACATTGTGTTGATGGCTGCCATGTCTGACAGTACAAAGAACAGTATGGCTCCTCTTTGAGCTGCTGGTCTATAACCATCTCTTGATATTTCAATCTCTTTCTTTGTACGTTCGGCAGATTTCAACTTCTCAAATACCTGAAATAATTAGGACAGGTATAGGAGCTATTCATATCAACACAAGTCTACCTCTACATTGCTACTAGTGTCATGCCACAAAGCCCATATACACTAAGTATATAGTCTCGGGCCAAATTTTGCCAAAAATGAAAAGTAGAGAATTCTCAATTTTTATAACATTCCCTGATACATATATGTGTTCTTATGCTGTGTAGAAAGTTTGAGCTGATTCCGATTAAAATTGGATTTTTTTACGAATTTTTAAAGTTGCTCCAAAATCGGGGCAAAGTCCCTGTACTATAGTACAGGGTCTCGGGCCAAATTTTGCCAAAAATGAAAAGTAGAGAATTCTCAATTTTTATAACATTCCCTGATACATATAGGTGCTCTTATGCTGTGTAGAAAGTTTGAGCTGATTCCAATTAAAATTGGATTTTTTACGAATTTTTAAAGTTGCTCCAAAATCGGGGCAAAGTCCCTGTACTACAGTAAGTAGTCCATTCCTGTTTAATGGCACCAGTAATGCCATACTGTACCTCAGAAGCTTTGGTCTTTGTCTCCTCCAGGGTCTGTACCAGTTCTGCATTGTCCAACATGTTACCACTTGATGTAGCTAGCTCCCTCAACAGTGTGTCCTCCAAATCCTTTAATAGTTTCTTGTTGATTGATGTCTCCTGTATCAGTCTCTCCCTGTCCTCCTCTAGCTCTTTCTTCTCATGTCCAACTATCACACTCAACAACTGATCCTCAAGACCTGTCATTAAGTGTCATTAAGTGTCATTAAGTGTCATTATGTGTCATTAAGTGTCATTAAGTGTCATTATGTGTCATACAGTCCAGACTTACCTTTAAGAGTTACTGTATAGTTTATGATCATTGTCCTACCAAACACTGCTGGAGTGTATTTCGGGTTTGATAGCTTTGTATTTAAGTACAGTTTGAAGCTTGGGTCAAAGTCAACCTCCTTATCACCAAGAGCAATGGTCTGTCTTGCACCTGAACCTACATGTACAAATTGTACATCATCATGATCATCATCATGATCATCATCATTATTATTATGTACCTTTTACATTCCTGTCCAGTACAGAGTCAATTACTGGGTCTATGTATTCATCAACATCTTTAAAAAGGAATGGATACCCAAACTTTATAGCTAACTCAAGCTGTTTGAGGAAATCTGAATCATTGAAGGTAGCCACCTGACAAATATTAACATGATTATCCAGTAAAACTTTGAACAAATCTAATTACTTTTAAGTTATTTTTCTCTTCTTTCTTCCTAATCCAAGTGAGTGCTTGTTGCTGAGGATCAATGCAGAGTGGGTATCTGTTAGCCTGGGTCGTCAGGATACCATTTTGTATGGACAACTCATCAGGAGGTAGTGACTCTGAAGTCCACCTATCAATAATACGAACATGACACATTAATAATAATTAATATTAACACAATTATTGATCATACTTGCTAATCTCCACGTCATTGGTGAGTAGTTCCTCTAGCCTGTAAGGTTTACTTAAAGGTATGTTTCTTGAAATAACGTCTTGCTCCCAGTTCTCTTTCAACATGTGGTGTCTGAAATCAGACGAGAAGGCTCCTACATAACTCAGGAAAGCTGATGAGAGGAGACAGTCTCCAAGTAGCTGGTGTCTCTTTCTTTTAAGTTCCTCCAGGTCCTCGAGCCACCTCACCTTCTCTGAGCTCAGTCCTGATATCAGTTTACTAGCTGCAGTCAATCTTCTTTGCATTATCTCTGCCTCTTCCTCCAGTGCTCTCTTCTCAGCCATTGCTTCTTCAAACTGTTTATTGAGTGCCTCCAATTGGCTCTCAATGTTTGACAGTTCCTTCTGTATATTAGCCAGTTCTCTTTTGCTCAGTTGAAAGTTCTTTTCCAGCAGTGCTACCTTCTCTCTCTTTGGTTTGATTTCCCTAGCCACAAAGCAGTACCCCAGCACAGCTTTAGTGAACTTGAACAGACCACCTCCAGCGTGACTGATCTCCTTCATACGCTGATAGTCTGAATCCAACTTATCCATTCGACCTTTCACTTTAGCAACCTTCATGGCAATAAATAAATACATGTAAATAATGCTCTTACTTGACCAGCAGATATTCCGTCCACGTCCATGTTTTGTAAAGAAGACAAGAAGTTGGTGTCAGCCATGAGTCCTTTGGCTGCTTTCCAATCAGGGTCCTTGATACCTTTGAATATAGCAACACACTCACACACTGCCTGTACTTGTGGGGGCGGTGTTGCAAATGATCTACAAAGAATACATGTTCATGTACCATCATTAGTATATTAGTAGTTCAGTACTTGTATACCATCATTAATATGTACAGTATATCATTAGTATAGTAATGGGCTGGTTATTAGGACCTTATTTCAGTGACATCAGACTTATCAAGATCACTAAGGGCCAGTCTTGCCTCCTTAAGAGCTGGTAGTGCTTCAGCTAAAGCTGCTTCTGCTTCAGATTTCTCAGTAGCAATCACTTTATTCTGCTCCTCAATCTCTTTACTTTTAGTCTGAGCTAACTCCTTCTTCTCTTTGGCCTAAATAAATCAATAAAATATTAATAATAATAATAATAATAATAATCATTTACTAGTTCAGTTTTTGTAGTTATATCTTCAAGAAGTGTGTCACAAGCTTCTGACTTTTGTTTAACAGCAACTTGCTGTACCTCCAGTTTCTCATTCATTACTTTGATCTGATCTGCAGCTTCAATCAGTTTAGTAAGACCACTTGACAATCGCTGGCACTACATGTACATGAACAAAGTGAGTAAAATAAAACTATATAATTTGAGAATGCTTTCTCTTAGTATTCTATCACCTCAGGGCGGGTTAAGCATTACCTGGTCTTGAACAAACTTGTCCTTCTCCTGTAGCAGTTTAGTGTAAGTGTTAATGAAGTCCAAATAGTTCTTTGGAGTGACGTGATTGATACGTCTCAGTTTAGCAAGGAACTCTTTGCTGTACTGTCCAACTGATAGGTGAACATGAACAACATGCTCAACAACCTGCTGCCTTAAATCCTCTGGAATCTTATCATTCTGCAAGTACATGTACATAAATAAACAAATAAATAAACAAATAAATAAATGTAAATAAAGCTATGCTCACTTCAGCTAAGAATTGGCTGGCCACAGCATGAAGTGCTTGCCTGGGCCAGGCAGTGAACCAGTCTATTGATGTATTGTTCACTAATCCTGGAAAGTTACGACACCTTGTCCTCAGGGTTTCCCCAACTGGTGACATGCATAAGACAATGTGAAGATTGTTGGAACATTTTCTTATGAAATAAGACCAACAGCTCTCCCTAGTGGGAGGCAGGCCTGCCTTGAGTACCTCATCACGAACCTACAGCATGTACATGTACATGACGTGTACAGTAATGAATGTACCATGTACCTGTCCTATAATGGCTTCCTTTTCATCATCAGGGAAGAGTGCTGGTACCATTCCTGACGTGAGCATGTTGTTAATTAATTCAAGGAAGCTCTCCTGAGCAACATGTCCATCAGTGAACAGGAACACAGTCTGGAAGTGAGACAGACAGTCATTTGATGTTCATGTGTATACCTAGAGTACCTTCTTATTGTCAATGCCCAGTTTATGGTAGAGTGATTTAAGGTCCTCTCTAAACTCTTCCTCCCCGTACCCACGGCTCAAGGTTATTTCAAATATGTCACAGCCAGCAGCAAAGGCAGCTAACCTAGCGACACTCTGTCTGCCACTCCCTCCCACACCCACCAAGAGGGCGTGGCCTTGGTCCATTCTTATAACCCGATGAACTCTTGTTAAATGTTCCAGTGCATCATCAAACAATACCAAATTCATTGGATTGTACTTCTCATTGTACTCCTCTAATATCTTATAAACAGCAACAAACAACAATAAACAACAACAAACAACAACAGTATATGCACCTCATCAAAGAGTCCTTTAGCAGCATCATAGTCTTGTATGTCTTCGTAGAGTCTGGGCTGGTCTGGTTGTAATGCTGTCCTGTAGTCTCCATACAGGAGTGGATCAATGAGGGCTGCCTCCACCTCATCTGGTAAATGTTCCTGCATTAGTTCTATCACATGTCCCTATAGTCAATGAATAAATAAACTATCAATGAATTATTGTTCAGAAACTACAGTCAAATGACAACTGAATAATGGTATATTCTTAATAGTTATTACTTTAACAATATTCCTGTCTTTATTGTTGGTGAGTCTATCATAGAAGACTCTGTGGCATTCATTCCTCCAAACTCTAACTAAAGATGGAGGATCGTCAAACCTGTCGGGTTTAATCAGTGATAGTCCATGATAGATCCTGGACAGGTCCCTCAGGTTAAATATATAATGGAATTTAGAAGGAGTGGGCGGGAGGTCCCTCACTATGCGCTGGTATAACTCGAGTGTTGCTGTGGTCAGTGTCTTAGCAAGTGATTGTACTTTAGTGTTGAAAGGGATGAGGTATCCAGCCAGTATAGCTGAGTATATGTGGAATAAAGACTCGTGGGATGGGAATGTGACGTTGAATGTACTAAATAACGATATGAACCTTGGGTCCACTTCATTCCTACCCCCACCTGCCTATATGGTAATGATAATATAACGTACACTTCATGTGTCTAATAAAAATAAACTAGTCTCTTCTTTTCAAATTTGGTGAATTTTGGCCAAAATTCCTGTACAAGTACAGGGACTTTTAGTAAACTTTGGAGCAACTTTAAAAGTTTGTAAAAAATTTCATTTGATTTTAAACTTTCTACACAACATAAGTACATGTACATGTCAATACACCATTAGTACATGTCAATACACCATTAGTACATGTCAATACACCATTAGTACATGTCAATACACCATTAGTACATGTCAATACACCATTAGTACATGTCAATACACCATTAGTACATGTCAATACACCATTAGTACATGTCAATACACCATTAGTACATGTCAATACACCATTAGTACATGTCAATACACCATTAGTACATGTCAATACACCATTAGTACATGTCAATACACCATTAGTACATGTCAATACACCATTAGCACAGGTACAGTACATTCTGTTAGACATTGCTTGTACTAATAATTCAGTCTACCTTTCCCATAGCTGCTATAAATCCAATATCTTTAAATGTCTTCCAGTTAAGGTCCTTCCCTCTGTCATACATACCTCCTTTCTCCAGCAACAACTTGAGAAGAGCAATGGGCTGCTGTGTACCATATGTATCAACCTACAGTAGAGTACAGTAGAGTACAGTACAGTACAGTACAGTACAGTACATGTACATTGTACAGGTATTCAAGGTATGTGTACATACTTGTGGCATATTCATATCATCAATGAATACTATTAGTCTTTTACCAGGAGGAGGTCCATAAGTATCTTTAGTTCTCTTTTCAACATTAGCTTCCAAGTTTCGCTGTACGTCCATACTTGTAGTACGGGATGAGAAATTAATATTAAGCAACAGCTACAAGTACATGTATATAAAAAATAATATTTATTTATTTCATCTTACGGTAAACTCTGGGCTAAGGTTTCTTAAAAAGTTCTGTGTTGTTGCAGTTTTTGAAGTCCCAGTTTCTCCCACCAGTACGACAGGTCTCCTAATCTTTACCATCAGTTCAAGTACCCAGGTATTACGGACAGTGTCAACAGTCGGTACTAGTATCTCGTTAAACCTCCTCTCAATTTCATGAACATACTCTGGGACTCTATCAGACCAAGGTATCCACTTAGAGCTGGTTCCATCATAATAATACTCGTACAGTGTTGGGAGGAATGTGGGTACTTCCCCTGGTCCAGCTCTCTGGTCCTCTCCCCCCACCTCAGGTAGGTTGGACAGTTTCTTAATGTAAGTATCAAACTTGATTCTGCTTTCTTCAATGAGTGGAGCCCCCAGTGACCAGTAGAGTGCTGTGAGGAAGTAGCACTGTATAGTATCAGCTCCTATACCTAGGGACAGGCCAGAGTCTCTTGGTAATAAAGCATCTAACATGTAACATAACTGGGCTACCTGGTAATGTACATAATAATAATAATAATGAATAATAATGATAATAGTAACTCACAAGGTTTAAGTTAGTAACAGCTAGTATAGTCTTTAGTTTCTCTCCTTGCCTTCCATCCATGACCCCCTCCAGTATCAGTGATATACAAGGAGGTACATATTTATCATACAATGACTGAAGCTCTTTCCTGTCATTCTCATCAAAGTTAGCAACCCAGCGTAGCCAGAATGGCTCATATCCTAAGTTCTTTGGATCAACAAATACCATGCCACACCTTGAGACTGTAGCTGGTGAAGCATACTGCAAATCTCCGACCTGTTGGAGGAGAGACAGACTAACAATATCACCTTTATCAGTCATTACCTCCACTAGGAGTGCACAGTGAGTCTGTAGCCGTATCCTTTCTCCATTGGCTAGTGTCAGTAACTTATTGTCATCCATTACTGAGTTCATGTTCTCCACCCAGAGTGCATCCACGTCTCCATCAAACAGTATATACTTCCTCTCCTTCTTCTCAGTTGGTTTATTCACCTCACGGAATATATTGGACAGCAGTCCATCAGTTCAGTCCCTGGTGATTGGATCCAACATACCATACAACTCAATGACAGTACAGGCCTTGGGATTCATTGTGTACAGTCTAGTATAGAGGCCCAGTCTATATGGAATATATAAATACATCATGTACAATGTGCATGTACATATGTACTTGGTCTGTGCTTGTGCTAGTGTATTAATGACAACACTCTTCCCTCCTCCTGTAGGACCAGCTACCATTGAGGTGTGTCTTGTTAACATTGTCTCATACAATTGGACTACCTTATCCACCTAATACAGTAATAATGATAATAATAATAATAAGTACAGTACATTGATACTCCTCACCTGATGTGGTAGTAATATATATTTATTATCTTGTAGAATGGCTTCCACAGCATCGTTGAAGTTAGGGTACCTCACCCGAGGACAGTCTAATCCAGGGAACAGGTCAGATATTAGTCCAAGAAACAGCGGAACATCCTCAAATACAAACTTGGGGAGATTCATGTCACGCAGTGCACGCATTAAGACAACATCCTGTAAAATAAATAAATAAATAAATAAAATTCCCATATGTACTTCATTAAGTTCAGGTGAGCCTCTCTTCAATTCTCCAGCCATTACCAGTACAGCTTTGAGTGCCCTCAGTCCAAAGTCATAATGGTGCTGTCTTGAGAGCTGTCCTTTGGCCAGTTTATACAAGACTGTCATCTTCTTAGCCAGCACCTTGGCCATTAGGAATCCTTCAGAGAAGAGCATTATCTCACAAATCTGCTCCAGATCAGGTACTATCACTACCACAGGTCTGAAGAGTGCCTTCACACTCTCAGGGAGTTCAGTCCGTCCAGCATAACCAGGATTCATGGTAATGAATATACCAACCCTTGAATCTAAAGATATCTCAACACCTTCAAACTAAATAAAGAACATAATAATAATAATAATAATAATAATAATAATAATAATAATAATAATGAGTCTATGATGAATACCTGGAACTTCTTATGATTATTAATGAGTGCATTCTGTATAGTTTTAATTTGTGTTGATATTACAGAGAGTACTGATATGTCGATCCTGTTGAACTCATCAAAGCAACCCCAAGCTCCAGACTGACACAAGCCTGAGTATATCTTACCAACTGCCTATAAAAATAAGTACAGATTGACCAGTAAAAATATAAACAGATTGAAACTCTAGCAGTACAAACTAGTGTGTTAAAACCTTGTAGTCCATTCCTTCTCCACAGTTAGTTACTACACAAAGTAGTGCCAGAGCTTTTGCTAAATCTTTGACAGTTTCAGTTTTACCAGTTCCAGCAGGACCAGCAGGAGCACCTCCTAATCTCATTGATAGAGCCTGAGAGTTAACAATAATAATTAATAATGGATCATTAACAGTAGGGGTACTGTGTATACCTGAGTGAGTGTGAGGTATATCCTATCAGTCAGTGGTGTTATCACCAGTCTCCCATTGAGTCCCATGTATTCATACCCATACCCAAAGGCTCCAGTGCACTGTCTCACTGTCAGCTCATCAGGTTCCTGCTCCCAATAGAACCTTAACTGACTCTCCCATTCAAATTCACGTGCATCCATTATACTAACAACAACAACAACAACAACAACAACAACAATAATAATAATAATAATAATAATAATCAGTTATGCCACTGCTAACCTGTCCCTTACAAATCTGTCAATAATATCTCTATTATGTACATCAACTATCAATACACTGTTGAACTTCTTCCTGTCGTTCTTAGACAACTGGGACCTCACCTATTGCACATCATCATCATCATCATCATTAGTAGTACAGTATTATTATTATTGGTATTACTTGTACAACTAAGGCGTCTATTTGTCCGTGAAGTTTCCTTGCATAGTTCTTCATTCCCATCTTGTCTCCTTTCTTTACTTTCCTGAACACATCTTCAACCTCCCATGTCCACCAGACCTGGTTACTGGCCAGTATTACCATTCCTTGATACAGGTACATCCACTCAATCCTAATGTATAAACAATGTACAGACTAGCCTTGCTATAATGGACACTGTGTCTCTGTTATACAGAGGTGTCCTTTATGTGGAGGTTATTTTATACAGTAAGGAATGTAATTGGTACACTAGGTGCTGTCCGTTAAATGGAGGTGTACTGCACTACTAGTATGTAACTATGTACAAGTACAATACCTTGTTTTCTTATCACAGTAGTAGAAGACTGATTCTTTAGTGATCAATCTATTAGTTCGTCTCATTTCCTTAAGTACAGCAGTCATCCAGTCCTCTACTCTCCCTTCAGCCACTACTCCAGTTCTAAAGTCCATCACTTCTCCTTCACTGGACACCATTGCTGAGGCTAATGGCTCACCAGCTCCTCCTGATGTGAACTTCAATGATGAAATGTTATCAAACATCTAAAGGAGCAATGTAGGCAAGTGACTGTTTCATTAGCTCATTCTATATTTAGTAACTAGTTCATTCTATATTTAGTAACGTACCTTTATCATGTGTTCTTGTACACAGGTGCACTCATGACTTCCTAATATGGACAACAGTTCCTCATCTGATATGAAGAAGAACCGTGGGAATGCATTCCTTTTGCTGTCCAGGTAGTCGTTTAAACTCTTCTGACACTTCTCCAGTCCAGCACTCAACATTTCCAGATCTTGGAGTCTGTTCTCAGCATGACATGCCTCATACACCAGTGGCCTTTTAGAGGTATCAGACATAATCTGGAGGAACAGTCCATATATGGTCAACTTACACTGTAGGTCATCATAAATACATGTACTGTACCTTTTTAAATGTTTTGTCAATATTGTCAAATTTCTTTGCCTCTTCAGGTAGCTGTGCCCTAATGTCTCCTCCAATGAATATACTCTCCAAATACATCCACTTCCTTTGTACAACCATCCATACCTTATAAGGATATACAATAAGCTCCACCCACTGCCACACCTCCACTTACGTCAACTACTTCACTAATATGTGATAATGATTTCTCCCATTTCTGTACTTTCTCAAAGAAAGGTCCTACAAATCTTGAAGCTGACATGCTTTGGAGGTTCATTGCGTTATCGTCCAGTGAGAGGACAATGTCTTCAACTGTTCCAAGGACATAGCCCCGCTCCTGGGTACCCTTCATGTATCTGTACAACAAACACAATTTCATTCCTACACTCTCATAATTCCATTCCTACACTCTCATAATTCCATTCCTACACTCTCATAATTCCATTCCTATACTAGCTCTCATATTCCCATACTTGTGTACGGTGAATTCCATTGTCTGCCAGGTTGATACCACTTCATTCAGTCCTTTTTCAATGCTTAGTTCTTTGTTGGCTGATCCCACAATGTCAGATATTGTCTCTGCGTAATTGTGGAGCTCCATGGCAAATAGGTTCTCTAGAGTAAAGGTCTCGGGATTCATGTCAAAGTTCTTTCCAGTCAGTTCCATCAACTTTTGCCAATGTCTGAATAAATAAATAAATAAATAAATAAATACAATACAATATATAAATGAATAAGTGCACCTGTCTCTGAGTGCCTCATTCTTCAGGTCAGCAAACAAAGGTATTGAGTCTTTGAATCCTCTCATGTTCTCCTCCAGTACTTGGTACATTCCCATTCCTTTTATTTCCTTTGGTAGTTTACGTAGTTGCCTCATGAACTCTTCAATCCCATCAGTTAACTTCTCAATGTCAAGATTAGCCCACAAGGTTCCCGACCAGTCCTCCCTTGCTTTCTGTGTATATTTGTAAATAGACGTAAATAAATAAATAAATACATCAACACATACAGTACAATTACCTTTTGGTTTTCATATATTTCAAATACTCTTCCAATATTCTTCAGTTCTCTATCCACTTCAATCATATCAGGGTACATTGTGATTGGAAGGTCAAACAGTTTCTCAGCATTAGTGAGTTCCTGTCTTTGCTGTTCCATGATGAGGTACTGACCTTTGAACTCTTTCAATAACTTGACCCCTGATGTACATGAAAGTATAAATGATGTACATGAAAGTATAAATGATGTACATGAAAGTATAAATGATGTACATGAAAGTATAAAATGATGTGCAATGTATGTACCTTTATCCAGGTCATCCCCTACAGTGGTGGGTCCCTCTGTTTTAAATTTTAAAGTAAAGTCGCTGGTTTTTTGTAAAAACCCAGTCACTTCCTCTTTAGTAATAATGGTGAACTTCTTCTTAACTGACACAAGGCTCCTGTCCTTCATTTTAGCTACTCTAGTGAGATCAGCCCAGGCTCCACTAATAGCAGTAGCTTCCAATGCTTCTTCCTCAGGTACAGGTATATTATACATCAGTAGTGTCCTGTACCTCTCTTGTATGTCTCTGTACTTCAGTTCCACTCTCAGTGACATTGACCTTATCTTGGATATCACTCCTAGCACAAACTTCAACTCTTCAAGTGTCTTTGGGAAACAATCTAAATCATTTGACAGACCCTAAGGACAGAATAAGTAAATGTATTGAACTCAATTTCAGCATGATCCCATTTCAGCACGATCCCTTTACATTATTAAGACAGTTATATACATGCACATACAGTACTGATGATGTACCTCTAGTTCATTCTTGAGTCCAATAAGTGATTCTCTGGTACTCTCATTCAGTATCTTTCCAAGGGACAGGATCCATTGCTGAGCGTTGTCTCTCAAGCTGTGTATCAGTGGGTGGAGCTGAAGGTGAATAAACTCAATGTCCTTCTCTTGTGGCTGGTCAGCAATGTCCTGCTGTATCTTGCAGTAAACCTGAATCCTTTCATCAAAATCAATCACTGATGGTCTACGCTGAGCAAACTTCTCTACCTGTATGTCCTACAGTACATGAATTAACACATGAATTGTATTAGTGATACTACTACTACAGTACCAACAATAACACGTACAGTATCATTCTACAAGGAATATGTGCATGTACTTACTCTCTGTAGTCTCCAGAGTATCCTGTACTTCTTCCATTGTCCAATGCAGTTCATGATGTTACTCATTCCGTTCATGATGGCATCCTTCACAGCATTACCCAGTCTGTTCACTTCAGGGTGCTGCATCACGTCACTGAAGAATGTGAAGGTCTTTGGCTCATCACCTCCTCCTTGAAGGTGTTGAGACTGAGCTTCAATACAGGAACCATCCAACCAACGATGAAAGTTCTTTGTACTATAATGAAGGAATACATACTGTATGTGTACAATATGTACTCAAATGTACAGGTAAGCTGTTCATCAAGGTACAGTAACATACAGATATTCATGATTGATAAGGTGCAGTAAGTACAATATTGTCATTACCTCTCCACCACTTCCCTCATGGCAGCCATTAGTAGTTTGACCAGTTCATTAGCGTGTGGGTGTAACACTATCTCAGGAGCTGACAGCAATGCTTCAACTATGAACAATGGTTTACCACACATCAATTGGTCAAGATACTGTGATAAATTATTAATCACCATCTAATAGAGAGAATATAAGGAGGCGTGTGTGTGTGTGTGTGGGTGTGTATTAGTAATGTAATACCTGAGGACTGAGATATCTGCTTGAGGTGAAGCTGAGGGCAGATATCAAGGGGCTCAGGTATTACATTACTGATAATACACATTAATATCATATTACGTTATGGTAGTAGATGGAGTTACTAGAGTACAGCTAGTATAATGTACCTTTACAATAGCATCAAATGCTCTTCTCTCCCAGTGAGAGTAGTATCCTCTTAGCCTAGGAGACTGTCCAGTATTACTCTGTACTACCAGTCCCTCCACCTTTATCAACAGTGGACCAATCCCGTGATACTTCCTCACCAATGCACTCAATATGAGGTTACGCTGACTCTCTATGAACTCAAAGTACTCCTGAAAATGGAATAATGTATTATTAATAGTAACACCATGCTATTAATAGTAACACCCTGCTATTAATAGTAACTCATACTTTAGCTTCAGGGAGGGTACATCCTGCTTTCAGAGGTGGGCTCTTGAACAGTGTAACATTCTCAATGAGTTGGAGTCTCTCTTCAATATCTCCAGCATTCTTCTGTATCTGATTCACTAGTGACTCAAACTTGGTAATGGCCTGCTCACATCTTGATACATAATCCTGGACACCCAGAGAGTTCCAGTTCAATCTCTTGGTGCCTGGTTTCAGTGTACGCTGTAGCCCTTTCACATGATCATCAAGTAACGTGTTCTATTTTAATAGTAACAAATCTATTAATAGTAACATGGTCTTACTTCAGCTTCATCCAGTTGTTCCAGTGCATAATGGTATCTCTGAAGGCAGCGGTTGAGGGAGTCCTGATATGATACAAACTTATCTTCCTGGAGTGCCACGCTCCTTGCCATGTCAGGGACTGAGAATCCCAACTTCTCAAGGTACTTTGCTTCAGCTATGACCTCAGCCAATTCAGGAGAGAAGTTAACAACAAATTCACAATTATCAGGCAACACTAGAATAATGATAATAATAATCAATAATAATAATGCAGTCATTAATGGTTAGACCTTACAAGAAGGGAGTGGCAAGGGTTGATCCAATCTTGATGATACTCTTGATATATCTCTTGATAAAGAGGGTGAACAGGTTATCTGATCCGGTTTGGCCAGTAGTGGTTTCTTAAGGAGTGCTGGTAGGTTAGTACTTGAAGTGTCAATCCATTTCTGATATAAAGTATCTTCATATTCTTTAATTAACCTGGCAACAGCTAAATATCTTTTACTAGCCTATAGTAAATAAAAATAAAACAAAATAAACAAAGAGAGTGCTTGTACGTGTGCAAGCATAAAGTGCGTTACTGTAGACATTGGCACTTACAGATTTCCCAGCTTCACTGTCTATAAGTTCTTTCATAGTCTGGAACCGGAGTACAGTGTGTTTGATCCTCATGAATAACGAGTGAGACCAGCTAATTGCTCCTGCTACCGGGGGCTGGTTCCTTGATATAGGAGGGTCATCTCTGTGATCTTGAAAGAGGAGACTAATGTTTTCAACCTCTCGTTCAAACTGGGTCAATATTTCGTTAAATTTCTTCATCATTGTTGCATTGATTGTGTCACGGGATTTAATATTCTTAAAATTGTGGAGCATGTCAAAGGCGCCTTCAGCTGAACGAAGGGACTGGAATGATTGATTAATAAAACTACAAACAACATTGACTAGTATATAATACAAGTATATGTACCTGGTAGCTTCAGCTTCTATAAGCTCCACTTCTCTCTGAAACCAACCCATACTGTTCTTCCAATCCTGTCTGTGTGCTGGTTGGAACGGATCATACTTGACAGTCTCTATGTTAACTACAAGACTGTCCACTTTATCTAAAACCTTCTCAATTTGTGCATGATCTCCAGTTACAGCTTTCAACTCTGCTCCAAATATATTATGAAACTCTTGTATTGTCTATATCAATGGTAAGAGTAATCTAATAGTAAGGTACATGTATAGTCTGACCTGTACGACACTGTAAATGTCACTGCATATCTGAGACACATAGTCTGTTCTTTCAAACAATCTCTTCCGGTCAAACTCCCAGCGTGCATCCCTCCCGGACTGTTCTATCTTCTTCCTCACTTCAAGATACGATTGACTCCATGTTCTCAATACTTCTCTGGCCTCTGATGCCTTCTGCTTTATCTGACTAATGCTCTCCCTGAAATGACAGAGCTTACATTGATCAAAATGTGGTCAAAGATGTTACTTGAATATTGTCTTAACGTCAATGATTCTTGCTACCCTTTCACAGAGTTCCCATGCTATTCTCTCCATTAGCGGTACCATCCTCTCATCTGTGTTATAGTGACGTGATATGACCCACACCATTCTCAGTGAATTCATCATGGCTGGTATAGTGTCAGCTACAGAAGCAAAACTAGCTCCATGAGCTATGATCTTAAAGTGTCTCTCAAGGGTCATTAGAAACTTTATGTTGTCTTTGGCTTCAACGTAATACCTAGTGAGGTCTCCTCTTGTTATTTCAAAGGACACTTGTGATGAAGAGCCAGCTAGTTTAAGTATAGCTATAATGTGCTGTACTGTTGTTGTCTGTAACTGGAGATAGAGTGCATTCAATGCTGCATTCCTCTCCTTCCAATACTCTATCTCTGCTAGGGGGCCATTACCAGGTGGGGTCTTCTTAAACTGTTCCTCTAGCGTGATTGTAATCACACGAGACCAGCTGTCAACAGCAGTCTCCAGACTTGATACCAGTCCAGGGTCCCTGGAGAGGCTCTCTGATGATGCGGTGATGTCTACTTCAGGTATATCCAGTTTGATCTCTCCTTCAACTTGCTGTATGGTCTGCTGCAGTTGAGTGGTAAACTTTTGTACATTAATGAGGAGCTCATCTCTTAGGAGGACCCTAGAGCGGGTATGAGACAGAGGTCGCACCTCCTCCTCTTCCTCCTCCTCTTTCTCTTTCAACAGCTGGTCTTCAGCACTCTTCTGTCCACTGGTCATCAGGATTGGCATATACAGGTATCTTAGTTTACCTGTACAATGAAGGGATAACAACAACAGTCAATCAGAACACAAGAAATACATGTACTTGTACGTATAAATGTACATGCATCAATCACCTTCCAGTGCTTGTAAAGGTTTACTGGTACATGTTCCTGTTTCAAAGTAACGTGGTAATGTCCTTTGAGCATCCTCCATGGTGGTAGGTACTGGTACCGGAGTACTCATGTTAATCCGAGAGACATAGAACCCAATTACTGTCTCACTCTCCTGACTGAAGGCACCAGCTGTCATGTGGAGTTGAACTTCTTCTATAACCTTTTTAACAATTACCTAAAATAATAATAATAATAATGATAATAAACATATTGATCGTCTTACTTTTTTAACAGTAGTAGTTGTTGTTGTGTATGGTTTAGTTTCAATTTCATCTTCTTCATTTTCTAAACAGACACACCATCACACCCACTCATTTAATTGACAAACATACCATCAACTGGTCCTTCAGATTCTGCTGGTACTTCTGGTTCCAGACCCACTTCTGCTTCTTTAACCAGCTGTTCAACTCTTAACTGATCTATAAATAAATAAACAAAGGTTTTTTAAATTGATTTAGCACCTTCTTCAACTTCAACTTCTTTCTCTGCTTCAGTTACTAAAGAATAAAATGTCACAGAGTTTCCTCCAGTGCCCTCCAGTAATGAGAGGAGCTCATTCTTAGCTTTACCGCCTTCCCTCTTCAATAGTTCGTCAAACACCAGCCCATCCTCTGGTAAAGTAAGGGACACAACCACCCTCTCCTTGATCCAACTTATCCTAAGATCCGCCATTTTGATTTTTAACACTGTTGCTATGGTAACTAGACACAGTAGGCGGTCCGATCGGCCTATCCTGATCAGTACTAGTGGTGGTGGGCGATGCTGGCCAAAATGGATTGCCAGGTAATGCCAGTTATCATTAGTTATAATTTAAGATGACATTCGGTCAATACTGATGATGGAAAGGTTTATTATTATTATAATGGAGTATCAAGAAAGACAACTTGGAATAAAGAAGACACTTTAAATTAATCAAAAATAATTTAAATTAATAATAAAAGAAATAATTATTTATATACATACATTCTAAAATTGGGTTTAGCATAACAGTGTATTACTTATGCGCAAGGCCAAACTCCCTTTACTGCTGATCTAGTACATGGACTTTAGTCAAAAAATGCCTCTAAAATCACCCCAATGTTTTATTACATTTTCTGATACATAGTGATGTCCTTTATGCTGTGTAGAAAGTTTGAGGTGATTTCTACTTCAATTTTTTAAGATATGGCCATTTTTAAAAGTTGCTCCAAAACTGGACAAAAGTCCCTAGGAATGAAGGAGTACCACAGCTAAACTATTAATCCCCTCCTCTAGCAGATATTGTAAGTCCTTTACTAACTGGTCCTTATCTATATGTTCCCACACATGTACCTATTAACAATAATAGTAGCTCACAATAAACAATGAAATACTTTTTCTCCAGTAGACCCGGTAACTACAGTGCACT